AAAAAAAAAAAAAAAAACCATGAGGGGCCGCCTGATTTTGCCACTTCCTAACTTCCAACGGCTAAAAGTGCATTAAGCTGTTCTGTTTTTGCAGTTTCTAACTGCCCTCAGCCCAGACCTGCAGTGCCCTGTTATTCCTGCGAATTTCAAACTGTGCATTGGTCACACGCATAGTTATTTCTACTTCTTTTTATCCCGAATCCCAATAGCACATACCAATAGAATACGAAGGACGTTATCAAGCATTGTATTCCTATTATATAAGGGACGCTGGGCCCGGATCCCAGCATGTGCCGCTCCACACGGATAGATCTCGCCTGAAGGTGTCACGCCACGCCGTTTCTCTACTATTACAGAAGTATTCCGTTGTCAGGAGGCAAATTGCAAACATACCCCTGATATTTCTTGGTATTGCAAGCATATCCTATCTTCTAAGAGCAAAATTGTCGAACTACCCGTGACTTAGCTAATACTATGAAAATGTCCCTCCATCGAAATAAAAACTAACAGATACATAAAACATCTTATTGATTTTTTGCTGGACCCTATGTATATTCTACGCGGGATGTTATATATATATATATATATCGTCACAAATATATATATATATATCGTCAAATAGAACTGCCCGGTAAACCGTAGGCATATATATCGTCAAATAGAACTGCCCGGTATATATATATATCGTCACAAATAGAACTGCCCGGTAAACCGTAGGCAGAGTGAGATGGAGAAGAGGACAACAAACGAGGGGCTGTGACAAACTGTTTCGTCGGAGTTTAATATATATATATATATTGCAGGACACGACTGTACAAAATCATTCTCTACTAATATTATTTCAAAATTTAAATTAATTTATTTACTTTGAGTACTATCAGGCCTCGTACTCAGAATTGCCACTTTGAGTAAGAGCAGACCTTCTGAGCTCAAAGATTGTTAATGAGCTCCACGCTCAGAATTACGATGTTAGGTATTAACAAATCTCGCACTCAGATTCATCGAGTGGAGTACAGACACGTCTCATGTCCAGATCTACAGTTTTGGGTACGGACCTGACCCCGTGTTCAGAGTTATCGTATCAAGTGAGATTAGACACAGAGTCTGAACACAACATATTGAGTATGAACCTAGGCTGTTTTCCCGGGCGCCTGGGCACCCAACTTCTGCCCGGGTACACGCCCCGGCCGGGCATGACCGCCGGGCAGGGTTCCGGGCAGCCCCAGCGCCAAAAAAAAAAAAAAAAAAAAAAACCCTCAAAAAATTCCGGAAAAAAAAAATGTTGTGTAGGATTGAAATGCAAACCACTTTTG